GTGCCGGGGGACTCATATATAGACAAGAACCACAAGGTTTGTGTATGGAGATGTGGTCCCACTCTTGAAAATCAGATAAATTATCTCCAATAGATGCGTTTGTTGTTGTTTTTGTTACTGATACACAAACCTAAACTTTAACCATTGCAAAGAATTAAGTTAACAGGAGAAATAACAGGGGAGTAATTTTGACATCTTCTTTCACCTGTAGGAAACTTCTTTTCATGAAGAAGTTAAGTTTTTAATTTTTATCTAACTTTTAGAAATACAAATAGAATTTTTAAAAAACTATGTAAGATTTGTTTTCACAGCTTTATAACTAACTTTTATAACTTTGCTGTAGAAGAACAGAATTGAAGGGAAAATTGAATTCTGTTACACTAAAATAAATGAAGTCCAATGTGTACGCTACCTGGATGGATGATTAGATGGATAAAAAACAGAGCAAACACTGATTGCTGTGCTTAAAATTTCGCTCTTTATTTGCTTGGATTAGTTCTTGTTCTGGACTCTCATCTGTTCACCTAACGTTCCCCCACTGCTCTGCACAGCCAGCAATCTGCCCAGTTATCCATGCATCTTTCATCCACTCTGCCCTGCTCTGCCCCAGCTCTTTCACCCATCTCTGACCCATTGAGCCTTGCAATAATTATTCATCTTCTGTCTATCCACAGTCTTGTAACAATCATATCTAACTACAGTAGCTTTGTCCCAAGATATAGCAGCCTTCAAGCGGTGGGGTTTTCATTTTAAGAATTTCGTACCTCATTTTAAAATGCTTAAGGAATTAAAATGCTTCCTTTAGCTAGGGTCTAACTCAGCTCTCATACGATTCGATCAAATAAAAATAGACCATATCACAGGAAGCAGTTCACCTATTTAACATTAGAAAGCTGGGTTAAAAGACCTAAGAATAGACATGTAACACAAATTTTGGAGAGAGGAATGGCCAGAACAATTTTCTTTTGCCCGCCAATAAGGGAAAGGATTTGCTGAGGGGTTAGTGATTCCTAAAGTGAAGGGAACGCCTAAAGTCCCCTTCGGTGTCCCTTATAGTCCATTACAAAAGATCTAGCAGAAGATTTTGCTGCTGTTCTGTGATAGTGGATTGCGGATCCTCTGTTCTCTATTTCAACTGCAAATCCTTTTGAAGTCCTTGACACATTGCTCACAGTGAAGGCGTAAGGAGAAAGAGCCAAGTGCTTTCTGAAATATTTTATATATTTTTCCTAATATTCCTGTTGCCCTCCCTCTCACTGCCTTGGTTTCTTGCCCTGTGTGATTTCTAAATGCTGAAGTTCATTTTTTTTTTCTGTTTTCAGCAAGTCATGGTTTTGCATTTTCCCTTTATTCATTCATTTATTTATTCATTCATGTACTGAATTTTAATACCACCACCGTCATCATCATCATCATCATCAGAAGATGTTTACAAGATGTCACAAGAAGGACCATCATGTGTTTTGTTTTGTTTTTCTTCAGCTTGGCCAAATGAGGTTCACACGTCATCTTTTTTCTTTTCTCACCTCCTTTCTCCTCATCGCCGACTGATAGTCCCCTTTCACCTCCCTACTTATTTTCTTCACCTTGCAGTTTTGAATCATCAGACGCACACACATCTGTTTCTTCTCCGCGCTCTCCATCCCCTCCCTGCCGTGCCTTACTCCTATTTTACTTTATCTGTTACTCTCTCTCATCTGTTTTCTCCTGCATCTGGTGAACATGAGCCGTGGAAAGACAACAGACAAGTAATGGGAGAAGTGTGTGTATGTAATATGTGGGGGCGGCCTTGCCCATCTGCATGAGTGCACATATGCCCAGATGACAAAGGCAGCTGCACGTCTTTGTCAAAAAAAAAAAAAAAATTCCATCTGAAAGTATTTTCGGAAGAGCTTTTGGTTCTGTACCCACACTGAACTGACACCCACAAAACCACTGACACTCAAGTCACTAAGCTGTCCAACGTCAGCTGCTGAAACCTCTTTATATGCTCCAATCCATCATGATATCAGAAACATACTCTGCATTTCAAAAACTGACAAATGTGCCTTGTGGCAGCAGAGTTCATTATGTAAAAGTAGGATCAGAGATTCATCAACAGCAGCTTCTATCTGTCTTGGTCTCAACAGCAGCTGGAATCAAACAAGAATGATTTTTCTGAGTATTTTGTACAAACCTCGCACAGTTATACAGATTCAGTTACAGAATAATTTCAAATCAAATTCTTGATTTCTTTTGATTCTTTTATTGCATTTCTTGGTTCAGTTATAATGCACAGCTCATGTTTTTATATAAACGTAGAGATTGGGATTAATCTGCCACTGAAGACTTTTTTTTATAATGTTGAGAGATTTCTTGATGCATGCTCAATCATCCAGGTAAGTAAATCTCCAAAAGTTGATTCTGTTCATCTGGATGTAGCGTTTTGTGGGAGAAACATTTCATCACTCATCCAAGTGACTTCTTCAGTCTCAGCTGACTGCAGGTTTATAAACAGTACATTTGCATAATGACTGAAACCAGCCCACTGAAGGAACAATGGGCTGGTTTCACGAAACGTTTCTCCCACAAAACGCTACGTCCAGATGAACAGAATCAACTTTTGGAGATAATGTTGAGAGATGCAAAGTTGGGTAAAAGTGTTAAAAACATTGGTTTCTCTACATGGACTAGACGCTAGACTTGCATCCTTTGTTTCAGTGTCACAGAATTCATGGGCTTGATGATGCATTAAATAATCAGTTTCATAACATTTATTTGAACCATTTAAAAAAAGTACAAATGCCATTTACCTTGATATTTCCTTACTCAGTGCAGTAATTTTCATACATTTATCACTGAAATGTCCAAATCCTTCTTAGAGACATTATATAGTATGTCCTGATCCTGAAAGGGAATATTTTCTTTGAAAACAAAGCACTTCACTGTCAGACTGCTGAGTTCTGCTGGAGGTTTCTTCCTGTTAAAATGGAGTTTTTTCTTCCCACTATTGCCAAGTGCTTGCTCATAGGGGCGCATGTGATTGTCGAGGGTTCTCTGTATTGTTGTAGGGGCTTTACGTTATATTATAAAGTGCCTTGGGGCGGCAGTTGTTGTGATTTGGCTCTATATAAATAACTGAACCAGAAGAATGTTGTATAAAAGGAGGGGCAAGGCTGTTAAAATGGCTTAGTTCAGGGAATGAACAGAGGTGCTGCCACAAAGGCCAGTGTAAGGTAAATCAGGATTATTTTGAACTGCGAATCATGCAAAGCTACTCATGTGGAGTCCAATAATAAATGTAATTTTGGAAATGAGCATTATTTAAACATTTAATTAATCATTATAATGTTCAATAATTCTCTCTTAGTCTGCTAAATAACTTACGCTTTCAAATGGATACTTTGCATGGCAAAAATCCTATTGCATAATAATGTTAGGAATGTAGTAGTCAAAGCCAGTCTACTTATAAAATGGAATATTACTGGAACTTATCATCTTTATAAACAAAATTTGGGTTCCTCAGCACTCAAAAAGTTGTAGGACTATTTTTATCAAGTATGCTTAATTGTCACTGACCGCTGTTTACTGACGAAACAAATGGAAGGTAAATGTTTTTCAAAAAAAATATTCTGAAACAAATTCCTGCTAAATACAGATACTGTTACCTCTAAGTGCTGCTGTACATTGTATATAAACTTTCCTCTGCCATGTGCTACTAATGAATGGTGGGTTTGTGGTTCAGACCACACAGATGCCAAGCTCTGGATGAGCAGTGCCAGTGACCATTGGTTACAACTGCAAGTAATATTACAACCTGCTGGTGAGATTTACTAAGAAGCAACATCTGTCAACCAAGAAAAAATATAATCTGAAGTACAAACATATGAAGGTTGTGTTGGTTACTGTTCGAGGCACTCTAGTGGTTTTGTACTTTCAGCACACCTATGAAAGAGCGCAAACCGTTGACCACATCTCTTCCATCTCTGGCCTCACTTTGCCTGAGGTTTCCCCTTTAAGTACCTTTGCTAGCACCTTGCAAGCCACAAAACACAAATTGACTTGGGGAAGTGACAAATTGAGAGGGTTTGGCAGTCTGCTGGCGGTAAAACATGCCTGTTTACATGGGAGGATCCCGCAGAACCACAGACATGTCCCTGACAGCCAATAAGGGAAGAGGTAGGAATGATGGGAAAGCTGTGGGGAGAGGGAAGAAGAGGGAAAATAACAGAGAGAGAGAGAAAAAAGAAACTATAATGGAACATATTTCCAACAAGGTGGAGATGCACATTTGTCAGCAGGTCAAGCACAGAAGCAAACTTCATGCACTGAGCGGAAACTACATCCTCAATAAACTGGCTGTGGGAACCAATAGCACATCTCACAGTATGTATGTAGACTATATTTAAGCATATACGTTTAGTTTGCACATTTGTTTTTTTATACAAAAAAGGGTAGGTCTTGATAAGTGTTAAACTTCTACCTTTGGAATTAAAACATTTATATACCTTCATGAGTTTTAGTATGTCTGATACTAACCTCACTGATGTATAGTGTTTTTGTATTTTATTTTTTATTTATTTGTTCAGAATTACCGGCCAACTAACCAACCAACTTAACTTTTTTGTGGTATTTGTGCATATGCAATTCCCAGAATATATAACATTCTAGTAACTTGAACTGAATAGTGTTTAATCAATAGCATTTATTCTCATTGCCTCATAGGAGTGGAAATATGCGCATTGATCACATTGACAGCTATTGGATGAACTGTCATGTCAAGTATCATAGAGACATTCACTGCTCCAAAATGATACATCTTGGAGCACTTGATCATCTTCTAAATTAGTACTAACAAGATGTTAACGTCTATGTTTTGCGGCTTTAATTAGATTTATCAAAAAGAAAAATCAATCTGTAAATTTGCTTAAGTTCATTTGTTTGGTCAAGTCTCTCTTAAGATGCACCAAAAAAAAAAAAAAAACCACATTGTTAAATAGATAAATTTTAATTTGGTTATAAACAAATGTTTCCATGCCAACACACTAAAAAACATTGGTGAAGATATAAATAAATATGGCTGTTAAACATCAGTATGTTAGAAGGCACTGCTCTCCCTCATCATAGCCCAGAGATCTGTTGACTCTAGCCTCTAAGTCTTGTTAAGTTGTTTGAAATCCATGTTTAATACAGTTGGCACCAAATTGTGCCACGTTTAAACACCAAGTGTAACTGTTCCCCTTCCATCAGACTTTAACTTTTTATGGCTTTTACACCAGACTTCTTCAAACCCATAAATTACTGACAGGCATTGTCTTCGGTAAGTGTGTTGATCTGCCTCTGGAGCAGGGCTCAGATTTCTTGGCCAAGACAAAACTTTAAGACACTGACAGAAATGTCTGAGAAAAAAGAAACCCTATTCTCCGCATGTCTTTGTAATTCAGGAATATTATATGATTTAGAGGGTGGAGAGCATTGGGCTATGGAAACACAGAACTCAATGGCAGGGAACACAAAGGATGTCTGTTCTTTCACAATGAAAACCTTGTTGGCATTTTCTTCGTGCCCTGGAGAAAGCTGAAGAATAAACAACACTTTGCTGTCCCTCATGTCCTTTGGGACTGTATCTTTGACAGCCATGCCTAAATGGAAATAGAAGGGATTCAGATTAATCTGAGACAAACTCAGTAGGATGCATTATTAGATTTATCTGGTCAGCTCATTATATGCCTTCATTGTGAATTTGAAACTTAAATCCACAGTATGCACCGCAGTTGTTGACAACAGAGTGGGTGAAACTCAAATCTGTTTATGTGCAATCTAAATGTAATTTTCAGAAAGTGACTGTAGTGTCTCCACTCCCTATTCTGCTTCTACCAGAAACAGAAATCCCTTTCTAAAGTGTTCAACCACAAATGGTAACAATTTGACATTGTAAGCAGATTTAAGTGTTTGTCCACTTTAGGTAACATTTGTTTCGGTCATTGTTATATGTTTTGCATGTCTAAGTGTAAGTATTGTCAGAGCTTGACTGTAGACGAAATCTAATACTGAAAGTGGAAATTTTCTTTGTGCTACACATCTGAGTTTTAAGATGTTAACCTCTTAAAATGATATGTACATACAGCATATGAATAAATAGATATGACGTAGAAACTGAAACTGAATGCCTGCATTGTAAAAACAGCAAGTTTGGACTGCCAGTGATGCAGGACCTCTGAAAGAAACCAGGAGGCTTACATGTTCATTTGGCTATTACTGATCTAATCAGTATTTTTATATTATAATGGTGCAATGAAAAAGGAGCTGTCAAGATCTCTGCAGTTAATCTATATATAATCAGAGCATTATTATAGGCTGCAGGCTGTGCGCTGCCATAGCCAGTAGTAAATACAGTCGATACCAGAATGCTGCTAGATTTAGCAGCATTCATTGTATCAGTTAATGGAGACTAAAGCATAGCTAATAGGACAGTTAATATTAAACGATATAATATACATCATGTCAGACATCACCGGTGGCACCTGATGGAAAATCTGTCCCACACCCCTTAGAAAATTGGTGAGCAGCTCAAAGTACCTTTGCGTGAGTATAACTTCAGTGTGAAGGGGAGTAGCATCATCACGCTTGAATTTTATGCGTGGAACCTTGCTTCTGTTATGCGCCTGTGTTAACTGCCATCATGAACCAGTGTAATGTGTACAGTTTGTTCCACTAACCCATCCCAACGTTATAGTTTTATGTGTATTTCTTAGTCATGTCATTTAAATAAAAAAAAAAAAAAGATCCCTATCAAGTGTTGTTTCTGGACCTGTTTGGGTCTGACACCATGCATAAATTAATCATTAACATTACAGACTTCTCTAGGTAACATATAAGCAAAAATGAATGCTGGAGAACATTGCGTTTGAAAGTCGTGGTACAGTTGCAGTCTGAAGTAGTAAACATTCACTACTCCAAATTATTTCTTCTGCCTGAGGCACTAGAGGAGTTTCATTTGAAGAAAGATCCATGCGAAATTATTTAGAGACGGAAAATGTAGAAAAGTTTCATATGAGATTCTCCAGGCCTCCCCCCCCCCAGGAAGTTATACTAATGCTGTACGAGTGCATGGCCTTAAACATCCTATTTATCATCATTAGAAAAGTTCAAAAGCATGTAGGAATGCCACTCTCACTGACATTTCTTTAAACAGCTGGATACGCAAAACAGCTTCTCTTTGAAAAGTTATCACTAAGCAAACAACATGTGAGCTGTCAAAGGCTTATGGCTTTTGCAGCTCACCTCCTACAGCTGCCTTTACACACTCTGCAGGTGATTTCCCAGAAGGAAAGCCAGGAAAGGCTGACACACGAAACACAAGCATTTACTATCATCCAAGGTAATGGTAGGTTACTTACAATGGCATAAAGGAATTATCATGTGTGGCTGAGGAATCAGTCTTTCTCCGAATGGAAGCTTATTTTGTCCCAGTCAGAAAGGAGCAGGGGGTTTTGCTCTTGGTTTGGATGTCACTTCGTTAATGTGTTTTGGAGCACATCACTGTAAAGAACACAAGATGATCAGTTGAGCAGGTATTTGAGCATGCATTAGTGTTAATTCAAAAGATAGCAAAAAAGGCTTTCTTATTAGATTTTGATTTGTTCTCTTTATAATTCAATTTAGATTTAAATGTGTTCTATTAAAAAGGAGTTTGTAACATAGCAGGATAATTTGTCGTGATAATGAGAAAAATGTCACACCACAAAATTATCTGAAAGAAATTCTCATTAGAGCAAAACCTGAATATTTATTTTCTTACTGTGAATATAATATGCTTCTGTTGTTTCCAGTGTATTGCTATATGCTTCATACTCTACTTCACACAGTGGAGTAGAATAACAGAAACAATATGATTTTTACCTAAGCATTTAATTTCTTGTGCTTCACAGCAGTATATATGGCTAAATATTTATTGAAGGCTCAATTCCCTCCAAGGGATTATTGCTGGGAATATTAAATGGTTTCTTTCTTTCTTTCTTTTTGTTTTGTTTTTATTAAAGCAATTCTTACCCTGGAACAAAGGTTATGGTACATACTGCTGTAGTATGTATATAATATGCTTAGTTTATCAACCAAGAGTGAGCTTCAAATCAGAAAGACACGTGTAGTCACACATGACGTGTATTTCTGAAAAACTTTCCCTTTCCCCCCCTCAATGATGGAATTGTTCAAACTGAAGGAAACTTGGCTTCATTCAAAAGACTGGCTAGGGATTAATCAATTTTCTGCCATCTTGATTATCTGGCCAAACTGCCCACCACTCAGCAGCAATTAGGCTGTCCTGGAAAAAAAAAATCTCAACCTCAAATGGGCATTTTGTCCAACTTATCAGTCTGGTCTGTGCATCAGTGGCAGGGGCCCATTCAAGTTCCTGTGATTACCTTTGGCGTCATCTGAGCCGCTATCTCCTCTCCTGTGTAGTGAGTCCAAAAATGTGCAGGCATTGAAGGGGGACTAATGGTCCAGATGGCTGCAGAAGAAATCGGTCTAAGCTGACAGTTTATCCAGGCATCCGACAATTACAGCCTCCTACTGGAATAAAAGGCAACAGTTGGATATTTCATTTAGATCTTAACAATAAAAAGGAAATGTCAAAACACATTCCCACACACAAATGGAACCATATGGCAGCCATCTTACCTGGGTTTGGTTTAAAACCTGCTATTAGAGGGTATATGGAAAAAGCAGCATCTGCAACATGTATAATTATTAGCCTTACTGTGAACACAGTTACGCAAAATAGCCACAAGTATCCATTAACTGTTTTTGGTCGACAAATGCTAGACATCAGGTTAGGCTCTAATGTTTGTATTGGAGTCCAAAGACACCAGTAGAAGTGTGCTCTTCATTTTTGCCCTGTAAATACACAAACACAGTGAGAAACAGTTCCATTAATTCAGTTTTACCATCTATGTTAAAGATTTATGTCAATGTTCTTAATAGGTTAAAATAAAGACAACAACAACATTTTGCAAAGAAGACCAACGACCCTCCAGTGATCCTCTGTAAGTTAACATTTAATAGGGCTGAGGACCTAGAAGTCAAGGGGTGAACCAGTTTTGTGTTAATTCAAAGAAGAGCTTTAAATGTCTTTCATAAAGCCTGGAAATATAGTATATATTGCATTTGCATTTATTTTTTCACAATAGATCAATGCAAATATTTCCCTTTATCCTAGCAAATATAAAGAACCGAGTGCTTTCACAAGACTTCTGTACAATATTGTAGCTTTGGGGCATAAACCTCACCAAAAATGTTTTGGTTTTTTTTGTGTAATTTTCTTCCCAGTCTATTCTAAAAATACAATTACAGAGATGTAATGATACCACATAAGACACAAACCGCTGTCCTCTTGGTGAAAGTTTTTATTTGGCGTATGCCAACACCATCAACTCCTGGTGGACTTTGTAGCTTTTTCTATGCTTTGCAGAGAGAAAAAAACTTGAAAGTCATGCCAGTCCAGTAAAACGAATATCTACATTGAACTTGTGTTGATTTCCAACTTTTGAAAAGGCTGGAACTCCATGCAAGTTTGCATTAAAGCTGTTTATTCAGCTAATTCTTTTATGGGAGACAATGAATATCTTCCTGGCTCCAGCATCCCTTTTGTTCTGATTTAGGCCTTCAGATTGATGGCTTCAGATATAAACGCGCTGAGCGTGTATTTAGAGTGTATATAAATATATACATAAAGCCTACAAAAGCATGTGGTTAAAGGCTGTTATGCCCCAAAATATAAAGCTCAGCAGAAAGCTTTCATATCCCTCATTAGTTTGGACAACTGGCAAGTGATAAAAGATTCCAAACGTTCATTCTGAGCGTGTTCAATTCATAGAAAACAAAACAAATGAAGAGTGAATGAATAGCAGATGGTTTGGTGTAATACAGAATCAATTCCCACACATCTGCTGCAAATAAACCAAGGAGACAGAAATAATAATTATGCATGCAACTCAAATACAAACTAGATCAAAGCTTTGCTTTTCTCTAGCAACATAATGATACAATAACGCATTCACTATTCTACGTTGGACATCATAAACCTAGATAATAATTGAAGAATGACTGCGGGATTTAAGCATTTCAAGAAGGGAATGGCTGTGTGCGTCCACGTAAACAATCGGTGTCTTAAATAAAATGCAATAGTGATATTGATAGAAGGAGTTGCATGTTTAGTTTTGGTACATGTCTTAGTCTTCATGTACAAATGACTGGATATGATGGCAGCAGGTGTACTTATAATTTAGAGTCAAGCAAACGTTAATTTATTATTCTGTAATACAGCACACAAGCTGGGACATGCTTGAATTTTTTTCAGTTCAAACTGTATTTGTTACCACTGAATCAGTCGTGCCATTTTGCTGATCAGCAGAAAAAAGAACTCTTGCTGAGAGCCAAAATAATCCTTGGAAAAGACTGTAATATCAAAGTAATGAACTTCATGGACAATTTGATTCCAAGTACATGCTGATCCATAGCAAAAAGTGATTTTCATGGATGAATAATACAATTGCGTGAGACAATGCTCAAGCCATACTGATCCCTCTATCTGCATTGAGAGCTCTTCAAATCCTGGCACATCGGACTCAGAGCGAGGTGTCCAAAAATAGAAAGACAGATTTATTGCACCCCAGATGTGCCTGATTTATGACCATTGTTTAATCTGCAGATTCCAACCACATGAAGGTCTTATATTTTGAACCTTAATTTATGGAGCTCAGAGAATGCTGGCTTAATGTTTTCTGTCTCTGTAGAAAATGAGCCAGCGCTGTGACTCAGGCAGATAAACAGATGCTTGGATTAACACTGATCTTATAAACATATGTGGAGAAAAGGTTATCTCTTAAACAAGCACCATTTGTTTTGGTCAAATACAGAAACGTGGGGTTTAAACCTCATTGAATCAACCATGAAATTATTATTTTTTTTCCTTATCAAAATATGTACTTCTTTTTTTTTTTTTTTTTTTTTTTTAGCGTTAAAATATTTTCTGAGAAAGAAATTTAGAAGCCGTAAAGAGTCCACAGCAAAACTTTCACTAAACAGGATTTTAGAGCTGGTGGAGGCAGGACTGTCACACAAGTAATTATACATCATAATAGGTCTACAATTTTCCTTTTCCCACCCCTTGGCGTCATATGCAAGTTCTCATTACCAGATCGACTGAGCTTACAGCCCCAGGCGGACGATTTTTTCCCTGCGAGCTGGGGTTCTTGTGTTGTGGTGGGAGGGTCGGCAGAGGCGACATGGGCCAATGTTGCTGTTTATTTCCATTCTGTCATGTGTGTGAATCTGATTACAGGTCGCTAAGTCAATATTTAGCTTCTGCGGACAGCATCATCGTCGAGCAGTTTATTTTTTCTGGGCCCCGCCACATCTGCTGCCAATGTCATGCGCGGTCGCCAGCGTTTGCTGCTACCGGGAAGGAAAGCAAACAATGAGTCTGCAATCCTGGTCAAGTGAGTCAGGCGAAAGAGTGGCGAGTGTGAAACCATGATTTGCAGCTAGAAGTCAGACTTGTTGGTGCTTCAAGCAGTTTGAGGGAAACCTTAATGGATTTGATGAGGGGTCAGAGAAGTCCATGGTTATTCACAAAATGACATCTTTCATATTTGAGAAAAAAAAAGAATAAAGCACATATAGCTACATATAGCTAACTTGCTCAGACTATTTAAAAGTATGTTCAAGTGAACACTTTCATTTCACTTGTTTAGTAGAAGCAACTCATACTCATATGCTTTTATATTGCACAAGCTGCGGGGACAATAATTACATTTCATGCATTTTTCATTTGATTCCTCTTGTCTGAGAGTCTTGCATGGGGGCTGCCACTTTATTAGGAGCCAAGAGGAACACTAGATGGAGGCTTCTTTTCATCTCTCCCTCAGGCAAGAAGGATTTGATATTTATTAAAAATGGAGAGCAGTATTTTTTTTCCAGTCATGACTCTAGGTTATTCCAGTGAGGCAGACCACACACAGTCAGTAGATCAGAAACACCTCCTCTGCTTGCCTGACCTAGTATGTAAATTTTAGAAGAATTGTGGACTTTCTGCCAAAGATGTGCTGCTCAGGACTTCATTAGACTCTGAACTGATTCTGGCTGTTACTTGAACTAAGTTGGCAATTGTACAGTGTGTGTGGACTTGCTCTGTTATTTTGGCTGTATTAAGTGTATCTGCGTTTGCGTTTATCGTAACTCGTAAATTATGCTGCTACTTTTACTGCTGAATGCTGATAATGTTCTTTAGGAGATTAAAGGCAGAATCTCTCAGCAAGACTTTGGAGTCTTGCCATGCATAAGGGGTCTGTATGACTTTTTTTTTTTTTTTTAGGTACATATATGCATTACTGTACAAAAAACGAACAGCTCCTCACAACTGCCAGCATCCCTCCACCCTTTAAAATTCACTTTCGTCTGCAAAACATCTGGAATTCATTGAGTGGAGGAGGCTGGGGGAAATGAACTTCGACAAGAGTCTGTAGATTTGGGTACAACCCCCTTCTTTAGGTTCCCTCAGATGTTGAAGATAGGTTTACAGACAAAAACGTGCCAGTCTCTCTCATTTTGTTGTAACGGTTTAAGAAAAATAAAATAATAAAAATGATTTTATTCCAATTACAGAATGCAAGAACTGTAGACATCAAGATTGAATGGTAGTGTTAATGATACTTTTCCTTTGATTCAAAGTCCTCTGTTTGCATGTAATGACCTCATCGAAATGGACTGACTTGGGGTGATTTGTTACAGTAACTCATTACTTTACAACACCACTGTAATAAAAACACTGTGAACCTCAAAGACTTGTTGGATATCCCTTTTAAAAAGTGAGTCATTATATTAGTCAGAGTGACCAAAAACAAAAAGCTGGAAAGCTGGCATGCCCTCGCTTACAGATGTTATTGGTCATTTTTCTGTCTGGGAAAAGAGCTTGTACACTTGTAGCAATGGTGAAGTGTCCAAATGTGCAACAGTAATCCAACAAGGTAACAGAAATCTGGTAAAGTTATTCAGATATCTGAAAGTAAGGATAATAATTATTCAAAAGCAGATGATTCATTACATAAGCTTATGTGTGTTCACATGATGCACTTGCAGTACTCATCATCATAGCAGGTCATTTAAATGCTATGGTAGACTGGAAAATTTGTTTCAGTGTTACTATCAGTAATTTGGGGCTGAAACTATCAAAACTCCCCATGCCTTCTTCTCCTCTCTATCTCACTTTCAGCACATGTTCTTGTGTTACTCTAAAGACATACAAAGACTCCAAAAGCAGAATCATGACGACGATCAAGTCTTTCCTAAGAAGTTGATGTTTAACTCTCCAACCAATATAATCTATTTTCACTGGTGGTAGTTTTCTCAACTTTGTGTTACTATATGAGAGAATCCTATGTCTAGAAACCCTTGTTAAGAGAAATCTACATGTTGCAGTGCCTGAAGCAAATAGTTTCTCAGTAATACTTGTGTAGGGGCTGCATGGTGGCCTCTTCGTGAACAGAATTACATCTGTTTTTTGTTGGTCTGAGACATTAATTATATCCTTCTGGAGCTGTCTACAGGCTGAGTTGGTGTAATTGATGGTAAGACAAAACACTGCATGCAATACTCACTTTTGCTTTTACGTTATACTCACACCAGCGTTTGAGTTGTATATCTGTTTGCTACTCATTTCTTGATTTAAGAATGTAAAGGTCATAGCTGTAGTGTAAGGTGTTTTCCCAAACTGCTTTGATAAATGGACTGGTTCTTATATAGTGCTTTTGTACTCTACTTGAGCACTCAAAGGGTTTATACAATAGGCCTCATGTGTCCATTCACACATATTCATACATCCACTTTTTTTTCTCTGCCTATGTGCTTTTTAAATTTCAAGCTCCAGTCCAATCCAAGTCCAATGCATCAGAGAGCAACTGGCCTATAAGGACACTTTGGCATACAGACTGGAGCAACCAGGGATCCAACCACCAACCTTCCAAATAGTAGATGACCTCCTCTACCATTCAAGAAACAACAACCTGTATTGTTAATGAAACAAATCTGTCTCTTTGTTGTTTACCTGATTTTACCTGTAAAATCAGTCAATTGAACTGTGATGTAGGCCTGCAATGATTCCTTGATTATAAAAACGTCCTTGCTTTGTTGTTTTCATGTAACACACAGCTCTGGAGTGCTCAGTTGTCACCATGTAACTAATTATAGAGTTGGAAAAGAAACATATCCAGGAGCAGCCATGCGAATACAGAGTATGACAACATTAAGCCCACTCAGACCCCAGTTTTTCAACAAAAAGACTGATAACACAACAGCAGCAGTGATGATGATGTTGTCATAGTTTAACATGGAGTGTGTCTATGCACACGGCGGAGAGCAAATACGTAGAGTGAAAGAAAGCAGCAGCTCTATTCCTGTAATCACAATTAAAATCTTTACTGGGAAAAAGCCTAGTGGGAGTCCTTCATCAAAGCTTCTGATCAACAAACTTTGACATGAAGAAGAGTGAACTTTGTAGCTGCTCCATCCACCACAGTTTGTTTTACACAGTGAAAAACCTCCAGTAAGGCTTCAGAAATTACATTAAAATATGCAGATGAACTTAGTCTGATACCGTGTTTAAATTAGGCGTCTTGCTGAAGGCTCACGGCAGCCATCGTGTTTTCAATCGCAATGATACCTGAGGAAACAAAGGGGAGTCTAAAAGGGGGGGTGGGGTGGGGTGTCAAGGCTTTTGTAACATTATTTTTCAGATTTAAAGTGAAATTACATAAAATTTGTTTTTTAAACTTAGTAATACTTAAAAATTTAAATATAAATTATTCTTTTTCTTTTGCATTTCAATAAAAATGTACATGAGCCAGTAAAACTCTGAGGCACTGACCTGGGGACACTATGTTGGACACTGAATTAACATTCATTATTAACATTCACACCATCATAATGCCTTGTTATAGATGGAATCCTAGGCTACTAAATAGTTGGAGTTCTGCTACGTATATCAATCTGAAGTTTGCTATCCTGTCACCAGAAACAGCTGGTAATAACAGTGAGTTATTGCACACAGTAACTATATAACAACGCTTAGTAGTAACAAAGCTTATGACTACATTTGAGCTTCTTAACCGACAGCTATGTGATCTTTTCCCAAAAGTAAAACCCGACTGAGTATTAAAAATGGAGATCTGTCAGGAGTAATTTTAGCTTTTCTTGGCCCATTAGAATTTCACTGAGGACATTAGCCTTTCCACTGTTTTGATGTTCGTTATCTTTAGTAGGAAATGCACTAAACAATCTGGGTTTAACAAAATGACAGATAAGCTGCTATAATAGCACTAGGCTTAAAAAGAGTTTTCCTCATGGAAAAACTAAATACACTACTGTTTGTTGGCTATTTTCTTTTTACGTTGGGGATCTCACAGCGGAACCGCTGCAGTAGCAAAGGTGCTGTGTTTTCATGTAGGCCTGAAATGTCCTCATGCACATAACTAAGGATAAATGTGCCAACAGAGTTCCTGTTGATAATCAGAAGTATTAAACAAGTCATATGAATGTGATTCAGCCTATTTCTAATGGAAAGCAATAATATGAACAGAAAGGGTGTGATGCACTCCCAAGAAACTCAAGATTCATTCCCTGCAACCGCTGACCTTCTCTGGTCCTCCTGTCGTCTTAATGTTTTCTTTACAGGGAAGTTAAGAAATCATTATTACACTAGGGTACACTGTGCAGTGCTGTCAGTTTGAGGTAGTTTATTGCACAGAGAGTTTAGCAAATGAAAGGAATGCATCATCAGCAAGATTAACAGTGTTTGAATAGCACAGGTGAGATCCTCAAGGCCAAAATTCTTGCAAGCTGTTCGTCCATGATGCTCAAAGACAAATGCCTTGTCAAAATTCCTTCTCATCTTACCTTTACATG